TGAATTGCATGTAACAAGGAAAACGTCAGTTATGACTGTGGAGGTACACCGGTAGAGATAGACCTAGAAAAAGTTGAAGGGATTGCGTGAAAAGTGACATAATCAAAAAGGGACTGATGACTGAGATGACGTATGATAGAGTTATGTGGAGGACAAAAACCTTTTGCGCCGACCATACGGGTAAGGAGAAAGATGATCACTTCGAATGAGACCATATTAATCATAGATAGACTTAGTTGGCCCATCGGCTGACGACGCTCATGGTGTAATAACATAAATCAGTGTGTGTTTTCAGGCAGTGCTGGGCACTAATCCAATAGCATTTGTGGCTCCTGGGTGCGATGACGACTATTTCTACTTGGATTTTGCGACAACAGCCGTCTCTATGGGAAAAGTAAGACATAATTTAAACGATAAGTATAACAATAGACAACAGTAAAATTATAAAGGTCTTTGTCTATAATATTTACAGTTTAATCAGCGATATGCTTACAAATTCAATTCATAATACATGTCATGAAACTCAAGAATACATGAAATGAAAATGAGTATTGCATAATGATGTACAGTAATAATTTTTTCTTTTCAAACATTCCATACATATTAAATTGTCGTAGATAGCGTTTTACGCACGTAAAGGCCGGAAACTGCCGGACGGCTGGGCTCTAGGCCCCAATGGCAAAATGACGAACGACCCTAAAGAGGTAACTATAAAATATTTTTTTCACAATTTATTCAACATCGATCTGCACCAATTTCGCCTGTGTGTCGAATATACTTCTCATATTTCTTCTATCATAACCACGCCCTTCCCGATAATATCACAATTATTATATATCTTATGTTTCTCAGTAAGAAGGTAGCTTTCTAAAGGCGTAAGAATTTTTGAAATCGTTTTAGTAGTTTCTGAACATTCAATGCAAACAATCAAATCCATTCTCATTATTATAGTAGGGTAGGCTAAATGGGTTTTGTTATTTGATTTGTGGCAATAACCTTAAGATTGATGCCACCATTCAAAAAACTATAGAAAACTGTAGTTTATATTTTGTATTCACATTGATTTATGTTTTCATCACTAGGCAATGAAGGCAAGACAACTTATGCCGTTAGGAGGTACGGAGAGTTCATCAGGTTACAAAGGCTACGGGCTTGCGGCTATGGTTGAAGTATTATGTGGAATTACTGCAGGTTAATAAATGTTAACTTTTTCTACTCTAATAACAGTTTATTATACAATTTAAATAAATAATTTAAGTAATCAACACTGATTTAGACAGATGTAAACCAATCTGTACCTTGGTATCACAGTATTCTAAGATTATAGGCGCTCGACGAGATCTGAAATTGTATGGCTCCAGGTACAGGTGTAGAGAGAGGAATACGCGAACATAGGCAGGGACAAACAACGGCTTTGCATTGTGGTTTACGTAGCGTCTTGTGTTTTGAATGGCCCTATACTGACTGGGCCCTTTTAATTATCTATACTATTATAATAAAGCGTAAACACACACTTCTTTGTTGCCTAAGATGTCAGCAATCACAGCATATTTTTGAATAATTCTCTTTTTAATAAAAAGCCGTACACTTGCGTCACGATTTAGGTTATATATTTTAATGCCATTGAACTTAGGGGGTAAATATTTTGGGTAAAAACCCTAATGTGGGAAAGAGACTATAAGTTGCTGCCAACATCAAGGATGCCATGGTTTGTCATATCATGTCATTTTGACATTTGCAATTGATAATTTGACACACGTAAATGAAATTTTTGTAATTTTATGCGGATGAAGTCGCATGGGAACAGCTAGCCTCAATATAAATTAGATATATGCTTTGTTTTAAGGATCAAAATATGGACATCACATTCGATCGTGGGTATTATCGAACAAAAGTGGTGGATCAGCCAATCTTGGTCATGCCTTTATAGTAATGGACCCCCATCAGTTTGCGCCCGGTTTCAAGGAACGCGTTTCCGAGTGTCTAAGTTACTGGAGGAACATGGAACCGGTAATGTGCTATTTAATTATATCCTGCTTTTAAGCATTTTCCTTTTAAACTTGGGGTTTGAATCCTGCCATCGAACAATGTGTTTTTCGTTTATCGAATTTCACATGTACGTAATTTACCCGACGTTCTTATGGTGAAGGATAACATCTTATAGTTTTTCTAAATAAAATAGATTAGTTTGATAAATGATGCATATGAAGTATCGAATTCAATTTGTATGAAGGCAAATGCCATACTTAATAGACAGATATCGTAGTGACGAAACAAACACATATAGCGAACAATTTTGAACTGTCGATATTCGGCTTAAATAATTCACAACTTACACTTAACACTTCGGCTTAAATAACTCAACTAAAATTATTATTTTCTTATTAACTAATTTAGAGTACAATTCTAGTATTGATTATAGTGTAGAGAATTTCGCGATGACAGAAATAATAGCGAAATCAAATTCGATTACGTACGGTTGTAGTAGTAATAAAAATTTATTTACTCTCATTATTTGTTATGGTCATTATTAATTTGACAAAACAGTGTTTTTATTTTATTTCATAAGTTATAACTATAAATCGATAAGATTCATGACTGATTTTTCACAACCCACCCCTACTGAATTCGAAATGAATTGTCAAACTAATATAAACTATTTAGACAAACTATAATGCAATCTGATCATTTAACAGGCGGATCCAAAGCTACCAGTGATAGCGCCTGGTGACATGGAGAAGTTGGTTGGTGGAAAAACTGATCGCGAAGGAACTATTACATATATAAAAAGAATCCTTGAGCACAGTAGAAAAATTGCTAAAGACCTAAAAGTTAAACCTCTAAAAGAAATTCCACTTTAATAATAAATCGAAGCAAGACATAAATGATTTGAATAAATCCGATTTAATTTCTATATCAAACGAAGCGAAAGAACGTTTCAAATAACGCATGTAAAACTGTGGCTGACGTGGTTTGATTAAAATTTTCAGCTTCAAATCTACGCAATGTTGTTATTATAATTTGAAAATAATAACGTAAAACTACATTGAGTTATAATTTTTATTTATTTTTTTTTATTTAATGTGACTTTATAAAACATATTTTTACAGTGTTATTGTAGTGTATAGTAATATTAACTATGTTTTTGTATTTTTTTTAATAAAATTTACCGCTTTTTATTTTTTTCTTTTATATTGTATTTCAAAATTGCAACCGCTTTTCAAACTATAGATTTCGGGAGAGAATTTTTAAAGTCGTGTCTCATGAAGAGAAACGAATTCGTTTTTTATTAAAACCTTTTGCGTATATGCTTGGCTATCGATGACCACTGAATCTATGTCAACAAGATCATTGAAAATCACTTCAGAAAAGCTTCAGTTTAATTAAGAAGGCCAAGTAGATTCACACTCTGATACGCTGGTATAATAATTCCAACTCTGAAATACTTCTTTGTTCATTCACTCATTGATTTTTAAATTTTAATTTAATTTACAACAAGGTATCTCATTATTTCAACAAACTCAAGCAGTATTACATGATTATAGTTCATCGTATATCTTCATTAAGCCTGGTTCACACTTCACTCTACATTTGGACAGTAGCCTTTAATAATTAATGGACTTACATTCAACGGGTATTATGTAAACACTAACTGGCGCCAGTGAGTACAACTCTCCAACTGTACTGATGAACCGTAAACCAGGCGACGAAAGCACTGAAATTGTTAATAGGTCAAAGTTGTGGGAATAAGTTTTGACTTATATCTTCCCTGAGAAAAAAATGTTAAAACAGTGTAGCCGTAGACAGAACATAGTACGTTGCGTTTGATCTATTTGTGGTCGTTCAAACAATATAACAATAGCTACATTGTATTATCACAATCATTCAATAATGTTACGCAAAGCGTCGGTTATAGTGTCAATAGTGTTGTTTAAAAATTGATTACTTTTACCATAGAATCTGCTTTGCACACAAAAAGTCATAAATTATATTGTAAGTAGATTAAGATTTAATTCTTCAAATGTAGCGAGTGTGTTTAAATGCAACGGCTCAGCTAATTAACGTAGTAGGTTAGCGATTAGTTTGCTAAGCTTTATGTAATTGGTTGTATGTTGTGTGCTTTGCATTGGCCAGCGTCATTGTATGTTAGATTTCCGCAGCGTACGTGTGTCGGTTCGGTGATTAAAAATTGAAATAGGTTAAAAAATAAAATCGCGATAAGAACGTTGACTGTTTCTTTTAATAATCTGTGGTACGTTGATAAATTACGTTATCTGTTTGGTTTTGTCATTGCAATATTCGTCGATTGTCGATTGTGTTACTTTCCTTTTGGTTAAATAAAATATTCACGATTAACTACTTCGTTTTAGCATCAATGAAAATTAACAACATTTTTATTGTTTAAAAATAAGAATTTCATTTTCACTTATTCAAGCAAATCAAGTAGTGTCTGTGAATTATTCTCACAAGAGGTTAACCCGCTATCTTGTCAAGTGTCAAGTGTGTAGATGTTTTCAAGTTTTACTTCTTTCAAGTTATTTTGTTTATTAAATAAATGCAATAAATAGATATGGATAAGAACATGCGACGCCAAATGTTGGTTTAGCTCGTATCTGTGTGCTTGTGGTAATTTGATTCGTTTAATCAGTACACTACTAGTTAACAATACAGTGGCAAAAGTGATTAACTTGTTTTTATTACAATTTCAATAAATCGTAATATCAGTTTATATCAATAGTGCAAAATACAAGATCTTGGGAATATTTGAATCTTACATGTCAGGTCAGTAATATTTTTATTTACATTTTGTAAAAAGGAGTGGTGAAAGTTTTTACAGTGGTTATAATGTAGAATGGTCTTTTATAAATTAAATATTCAGTACTTTTAGCTTAAATTTGTTTGTTTTTAATATTATTCTATTCAGAAATTTGCATTACAATTTGACAATCACTTCTTAACCTTGTAACAAAATTTGTGATATGAAGACTAGGTTTAATTATTTAAAATACAGTTCTAGTTACAAATTAAAAATTATAAAAAAAAATTAACATAGAAATTATGAAAAAACAGAATAAAATAAGACTGAGATTTTTAAGTAAGTTAGAAGAAAGTGAGGTTTTATGGAAGGAGTTATCCGTTATCTTTATTAAAGTATTAAGTAGTGATTTTATTCATTGCATATCAAATTATAATGTCACTCCACAAAGCATGAAGATTATATAATTAGTAAATAAACAGGGGAGAGGATAAATAGGGAAAGAAAGTAGTATTTTGCAATTTATTTCTATTCAATGAAGGTATCTTTACAGTATGTTCTTATAGATGTCTATATGTTATTGTTTAGTTAACAAATGGTCTGTTTGCTTGTTAATCCACATTTTATATGAATATTTAATTTTATTGTTATTCAAGACTTAATAGTACTTTGATATGATTTAATATTTTATATTGAAGGAAGTAATAGAATTAAGCCTTAATAGTTTACTTAAGAAAATAAATACAATAGTGAACTTGACCGTCTGAAACCTGTTATAAATAATATCTAATATAAAAAATATGTAAAAGATAATCTCATATAAAAAAATGTGAATTATATCTGCAGTTTTAAAAAAATCTTTCAATTTTAAAATGAAATTAACTAAATGATTAGAATGTCTTTTGATAAAGTGGAATGTAATTTTTTTATCTACCTCACTTCTTTATCTATAGATGTTAATGTATAGTGTATTATTAATATGGAGTAGGTTAATGTAATTAATTCAAAATTGTACATTTTAAAAGTATTTATTAATTGTATGATAGTGATAGTGATTATTTTATGATTAGTAATGAATAAAATATAGTTATTTGTTTGGAAATTTCCCTTATAAAGTTTTTTCATCATCAACAACTTGCCCTTATCCCTTACAGAGGGTCGGCACAGTATGTGCTGCTCTTCCATACATCTCTATCAGCCATCATACTCCATCCACTCCTTTCTTAAGCATATCCTCTTTGAAACAATCCATCCATACTTTCTTCGGTCTTCCTCTTCCTTTGTAGCCATTCACATTCATTCCTAACACTTTCTGGTTTATGTCCCCATTTTCTTGTCGCATAACATGTCCATACCACGCTAACCTTTTGCTCCTCAATTTCTTCACCACTGGTGCTACTAACTTTATCCATTCTTGTCACGCCACAGATCTTCTAAGATAGTCTACTTGCATAGGTACCTAAAAATGATCGGTGAAAATTCCATGAATTGAATATGTGATATTTTGTAATCACCACAATACTTGATATGTGTATGATAGTTAGAATATCAAGTTGGTAGTTTAGTGAATTAATCAAATAAACTCATTTAACTGTTGTGTGTAAAAAAATGGCGTTGAGAGCTAAACATTTTACAAGTTTATTCTGGAGAATATTTATTAATCTCAAGATATGAGTTGGCCTTACGTCATCCTCCCATTTAAGGATCGCCTGGTTTATCCTACGCCAAATGTGTGAAGCATACGCCACTGTGGGTATACTATTTGCATCCCTTTTATGTTCTCTGAGAAAAACAGAGATACAATATCTCGGCAGTGGAAATTACCAGTACAGCGATTTACGTCCACACAAATACGTACAAAATAATCACACATAATTAATGTCATATTCGTTATTTCGCAAGCTACAACAATGACGATGTTTTTTATAAATATTTTGGATAGCGACAAGGCGCGCGTGTTATGCGTGGCCAAAGTTACTAGATGTCTACTTGTATATTTCCGTCCTATTGGCACACTGGCCAAAATACATGCAAATATGAATTTTTGAACGTGCATTTTGTTAGCGTTATTTTATATTATAAGTTAGTGTCAACACAGACTATATAATTAAAACACTGGAATTAATTCGAGAATTATATTCTAGGACTGCGAAAATATAAAGGATGAACGTAACAGTTAGCAAAAAAGTTATTGTTAAAGTGCATTATGATTTCACCACAAGAAAATTAATGAGCAATCTATATCTGTTCGTAAAAATATCACAAAAAAAAAGAAATAAAAAAGGAATACAAACGAATTAAGTACCTCCTTCTTTTCGGAAGTCGGTCGAAAATAGCTTCGTGATATCCAAAATTTTAAATCGTATGGCCTTGGTTATTGAAAACTTGTTTACATTGATAACAAATAAGTTTTAAGTTCTACTATATTCTCTACGATTATTGTTGTTACAAAATAACCCGATTTTAATTAAAGGAAATGACTCCTAATCAACGTCACGTCTTTGTTTTAGAGAGGTGTTAAATATTTAAAAAATACTGCCACTAAAAATTGATTCTTTTTATTCTCAGTTTAAACCTAGCTAAAATTTAACATAATTTTTGATAAGAAAATATTATTACAAAATGATAAGAGCGTAAATTCCGCGTATGCTATAATACAGGAAAAATCTCATTTGTTTTATTCACTAAAGATTGAACGGGGTTGTCGAGTACCAGTTCATCATTCACTAGAAAAATGGAATCAGAGTAAACGGAACGACTTAATGGATTTGTCGAACCGTTCAATTCGTACTTGACTTGTGAGACCTTTATAATACTAGAAGATTATATCCAATTATCGGATAAATTATCCAATTATTGGATTGCTTTGGATTTGTATGTAATCCTACTCTAGACGATTATCTACATTACGAGCGGGTGCACACCTTTGACTAAACTATCTCACAACTGCAATTGTCGATTGTTTCGAAGCTAATACAACTATTTAGTTGTACAACTAAAAATCGAGTAATGTGCGCAAATCTCAGAGTGTATTAGATCATAGGAATCAAAGCGCGACTAAACAGTTCTGCGATAGTTTAGACAAAGGTGTGCGAGCGCTCAAACTAAGCATGGAATTTACGCTTGTTTTCGAATGACTTAACAAAATATTATTCGGAAAATGTACATGATTAAAATTCCATGTGATAATATAAATATGTATATACATATTTTTCTTTCCTTGTTTACGAAACTTGCGGAAGGAAGAAATCTGTCTTCCAGTAACCAAACGCGGAATTTTTATATATAACTTTGTACCCGTAATTTGCCTTATTTCTAGGTAGAATCGTTCTATTTGCAATAGCTATTACTGCATCTGCCAATTGTATATCTTGGCTTACAAAAACAATCACATAACATTGACAGCTGTTAAAACAGGATTGTTTTTTGTTTATTCTATTATCTCGCGATAGGCAAACTTCCTCTACGCGGATGTGTGGAGTTCAACGATCTGTAATTTAATTGAATGCAGTAGGAATGCAATGCGTTAGTTCATATTCAAATCTGTTCGTTCTTTTAATATTTTCCCTCAACAGTAAATGTATTTAAAACTGTTTTCGTTTGGGTACTTTTATACGATGATTTATTGGATTTAAAATACTGAATAAATTATAAAGGAATTCATAATTTCCCAATAGTTAATACGAAGGCGCTACAAAATGGTATTAAAATGTGTATTGATAACTCGTGACAATTGTCGTATTGTTTATGTGAACGAGAGAAATAAACTGGCTCCAGACGATCCAAACGAAGTGTGCCAGCTGTATTGTGTAGCAATGCCACAATGGAACGGCAATAATTTTACATAGCCGTGTTCAATCCATCAACGTTTTCTGGGGCAACGTACGTGCTGTACGTTTAATATGTTATTTCACGCATTACTTTTATATGTATGTTAAAAACCGTAAAAATTGCCTATATGTTTAGTGTGGTAATAGATAATATATCGAGTTTACGCGACTTTGGTTGTATTTTTTTTATTTATGAGGTGAAAACGAGCAAGCGGCCATCTGAATCCGTCAAAATGACGAAGCGACCGTCGACCATAGACCTTCGCAATAGCGATTGCGTTGCCTCAACAACTTGGGAGGAGACGCACATAAAGAAGATATTACCCTATGCGTCTCCTCCACTGTCAAATCCACGTTCCCTACTCATTCTATTCTTATCAGAAAAAAGGTAGGAAGGAAAAGGTACTAAAGTTGGGCCTTTCGCGGAAATCGCGGAATTGCTCCCACTTCACGCCTGTCTTCTGCGTGGTCGTGGTATTGCATCGGGCAAGCCGGCCCATTAGTACGAAGTTGTTAAAGCGGGCTCTACCGTTAGTTCTATATTTTAATGTCCAAATATTAGATCGCTTAAATGCATAATACTCTATCAAAATAATATAAATAATGCATCATTATTTGCCGTTTTATATGCATAATAACTTTATAGTATCATATTTAAACATTTTATACTGACAATATCATCAGATGGCTCCAATGATAAAAATATTTATGTTGACATTACAAAAGAGCTCATGTTGGATGATTTTTATGACTGTTTCATTGTTTATTGTCCTTACTTTAGGTGTGACGGTTTTTTTTATACAGCTAAAAGTACTTAAAAATACACAAATTTGATACCTTGACGAATATTATAAGTTTATTGTTTATTGTAGAACCGATCCATTCATGATGGTCTGATTATGCGTGTCGTAACAGTTAGTGCATAAACTGAATAACATATGCTTGCCATTGACTGTTTTATTCCAGAAAATATAAATGGATTTAAACACATGTTTTAACTTTTAAACATATTATGGAACTAGCTGTTCCCGTGAGGCTTCATCCTCATAGAATTATGAAAGTTTTATTTTATTGTTTACGTTTCTCAAATTATCAATTACAAATGTCAAAATGTCATGACGTGATGACAACCTTGCTTCCTTGATGTTGGCAGCAACTTATGGTCTCTTTCCCACATTAGGGTTTTTATCCAAAAT